TTATGTTAATCACCATACATTACATCATTAGTTTTTGATGTCGTGTTCCATGATTCATTGTTTGTGTATAACACCCAGTGCTCCATGCAGAACGTGCCCTCTTTAATACCCATTTGACAGAGACAACAGCGAGAGAGGGAACACAAGCAGGGGGAGTGGGAGAGGGAGAAGCAGGCTTCCCCCAGAGCAGGGTGCTTGATGTGGGGCTCGATCCCAGGACCCTGGGACCATGACCTGAGCCAAAGGCATCAGACGCTTAACGACTAAGCCACCCAGGCGCCTCAGGATTTTATTTTTTTAAGTAATCCCTACACCCAACATGGGCTCAGATCTACAACCCCAAGATCAGCAGTCTACATGCTTTACCTACTGAGCCAGCCAAGGGCCCTGAGAAAGATTTAATTTTGATTGAAATGCTTTACTGTAGGGGCACCTGGGTGGCTCAATCAGTTAAGCGTCTGCCTTCAGCTCAGATCATGATCCCAGAGTCCTGGGATCCAGCCCCGTATGGGGCTCTCTGCTCAGTGGGGAGTCTGCTTCTCTCTCTCCCTCTGTCCCTCCCCGCTGCTCGTGCTCTCTCTCTCTCAAATAAAAAAATCTTAAAAAAAAAAAAATGCTTTACTATAATAATCGTTACAATTCTCTCATAAAGTGACATCACTGTTTAAGTAGATTTGTTGCCAAAAACTCTTTAATTGGAAAAAAAAGCATAGTTTACAAGAGTTTATTCTGTTGTCTTCCAGAAACACTAAAGGCAGCTCTTTTTATTACATTTTAATTGAAGACTAATAGTACTGCTGCTTTATATCATAGGAGTATTTTAACCTACAAATTAGCTCTACTCATTTCAAAGTAAAAATTCCATAGTGAAATGGTATACAAAACTTAAAAATATTCAGGTTTAAAAATCAAAGCCACTATAGTTGTTTTTTTTTTTTTCTTTCTACATAGGGTTCTGAAGATGGCTTGAAAGAAAAAAATGAAATAATTGTCCGACTAGAAGAAAAAACCAATAAAATTACTGCAGCCATGAGGCAGCTGGAGCAAAGGTACAGCATTTTCAGTCTTAGTTTCTTTTTTTCCTTTTTTTCTCCCTTTTCTTTATTCAACTCTGACACCTGCCACAAAAACCATTAGGAAAATTTATTAGGACTTTTTTTTTTTTAAGCCCAGCAGGATTTTGCCTTTTTTGTTTTGGTTGTTGCATGGAATCAAGTTGCTTTATAGTAGGCTGAATTCATTTGAATTTGCCATTTTGTGGATTTTCTTAAAAGATTTAATATCGGCAATTTCATGTGGTTCAATCGATGACATAAAACAAATACACAAACAAAAACTTTAAAAAAGTGAAAAACGAACAAAATCTATGGTGGAATTATCCCTGATTGATTTCCATGCATATTGATTTTCATATCCTTTGTCATTCATCATCTCTTTATCTGAAATCAAGCTTTGAGTTGGCAGTTTAGTTGCGTTTCTTTGAGCTAGGACCCTCAACCCAAACCAATAAATAATTTTATTTAAATTGAATTGTTTTGTATTGGCATTTTTCACTTTTATTGTTGGAAAATGTAATGTATTTCCATTGACCTGTCATGTTGGTGTCAACATATGTCTTATCATTGCTTTCTTTGAATCTACTTATGAAAAACATAACTATTAATGCTTTATTGACATGAATATTCTTTTATTGACATCCTCTTTCTTCTTTTTTCTTTTTTGTTTTCTTTATCCCCATTTTTACATTTTGGACATCTTTATTACCTTTCTCTGTCTTTAATTTCTGTCCATTCCATTATGAAGTGACAGTGATTTGTTAACTCAAACTAGGACAATTGCAATGTCATTGGTGAAATATGCCAGCAGTGACACTCAGGACCAGTACAAGCTGGTCAAAGATATATCTTTCTGAAAACCACTTGTATTTAAACAGACTAAAAGAGAGTCGACAATTTTATAATATATTAAATAGAAAATAATTTATGCTATTAAGTATTTGAAAAGGGTATTAAGAACCCTGTCCACTTCTTGATCAGCTGCTGTGGTAATACACTGCCATGAAGCAGAGTGGGTGCACTTGGATTTCCAAAAACACATTCCTCAAACCTCGTGCACAAAGGCTGATTTGAGTATTGACCTTTTGGAGGTCAGGATTTTCAAGTGCAGTTTTATCTTTTTAGCTACTTTTTGATGGAAAATATAAACATTGTTTAAAAATAAGTTAACCCTTTGGTTTCACAGTGTGTTGGCACAAATTTTCCCTCTTGGCCCACTCTTGGCCTAATGGCTTCTTTACTGATTTTTTAATATGTTTTAAAATAGTTTATAACCCAGATTGGCCATTCTCTTGTGCTCTAGCACCTCAGTTTTCCAGTTCCCTTAGCCCTCTTCTGTGATAGCACAACTTCAAGCCCTACCTCACTCTGAGTTTTATTTTAGTTTCTGTAATCTTAGAGAAATACTTGGGTCCCTGTCCCCCTACATTAATATTTTAAAATTAAATTTCAATTTAGAGATAACTTGAATGTTATTCTCTTTTGCTCAGAAGTGGCATTTATACTTCTCAAATGTGTCAGGTTGCCCCACTGGTATGTTTTTAGGAAGAAAAGAAGAGTGTTTTCAGCTAGTTGAATAGAAATTTTGCCTGTGATTCCCTACAAGGAGTTAATGTCTCTTTAATACGTGGGAAAAGTTTTCTTATAAAAACATTGAAGTTAAATCTAAGAAATCCTAGATGGGAGGCAGGGAGTGGAGCTAAGCACAGGGAGAAGCAATGACTTACAAATAAAAACAGAACAAATGAAAATCACATTTTAAGCTATTTAAACATCAGTGATGAACAAAAATGATCTCTAGAGAATGTTGCCAACTAATACTATATTCTTTCGAATCTTAACATACACACAACACACACACACACAGCTTTCGGCATAATGTAGTAAATGCATAAAGATCCTACAGGGAGGACTTGGCTGTTCGAAATAATTGCAGGTCTTTGCTCTTGGCCTTGTAGCACACTTGATTCCTGGCATACACATCCTAACATAATAAATAACAATGTGGCTTCTTCACCTAGTGTAGACGTAAATACTGTGCTTTACATGGTTTTGTAAAAAGGCAGTAACACACCCATTATACTTTCGAAGTTAATTCATTCTGCTCTACGTAAGTGGTAAAGGCTGTATTGCTTTGCATTGTTAATTATGAACAAGAAATAAAACAAATTTGAAGATAGTATTCTGGGCATATTATATGTTATATTGAAAAAAAATCACATAACAATTTCTAGACATTGTGTGGCTCTTTCACGTTTGAGTTTGTGAGTTTCCCCCCAAACTTTGTTTTCATTTAGAAATGTTTCTATTTCCCCATTTTTCTTTTATTTGTCTTCTTCACCCTTTTACACCCTAGTTCTAGCCTCAGTTTTACCCAAAGTTGATTTGAATTACACCAGATTGCAGCAAGCAGAGAAGGCGCAAATGGAAGCTGAAGATGAAGACAAGAAATATCTACAAGAGTGTCAGAGTAAATCCGACAATCTGCAGAAACAAATCTCCCAAAAGGAGAAACAGCTGTGAGTATTTCACTCTTGGAAATAAGTACTTGTATTAACATAATTCCCACCCCTTCTTTTTTGCACATAATGGTAGGATACCTATATTTTCCTTTAGTTAATGATGCCAGCTAGATTATGGAGTTCTCCTTGAGAAATAAAAAAAAAATTAGAAAACATAATTGATAAAACTTGTGTTTTTTTGTCCCCTTATTGTTTTCAGAGCATTTCAACTATCTTGTTACCTTGCTCAAGGAGAATTTTATTCTTTCTGCTGGTATATAAAAGCAGATGGCCATTATATTTCTAGGTACTGAGTGTAATATGCCTTTGTAACTGAAAGGGACTTATCAAAGAATAAGAAGTTTTTTGAGAACATTTTTATTAATACTTCATATGACAGATCTATATATCTATTACCAGCTAAGAATGATGTCCATATACGTCATTGGACTGAAAAAGGCAAGTTGCAGACAGTATGTGAGGTATAATCCCATTTTTTAATAAAATTAAAACTGTGCATATGTGCATATTTACATATACATATAAAGAGAGAAAAGAGTTTAAAGAATACAGATTCTGGGGAATGATTATCTTAGGGGAGTGATGGCAGATTGGCAGGGGTATTTTAGTTTTTACTTTATTAAACATCAGTATTTTCCCCCAGTCAATATGTGCTACTTTTGTTATTAAAATAAAGCAACAATAGAAAATAGTTATGTATTATGTTTAACAGATCATTAAACAAGACTACATGCCATTTATGATGTATAACTTGCTAAGCTGCCTTGAGATCCATTGGTTGAGGTGACATTAAACTCCTCTCAATTTTTGCTAATTTTCTAATAGTTCTGTCAATTATTGAGAGGGGATTTGTTGAATATCCCAACTTTAATTGTGGATTTGTGTATTTCTGCTTTTAGTTCTAATGGTTTTTGCTTCTTGTATACTGAAGTTCTGTTGTTTGGTGCCTACACATTTAGGATTGCTGTATCTTTTTGGTGAATTGACCTTTTTATCAACATAATATGCTTCTTTATCTTTGGTAATTTTCTTTATCAGATGTTAATAGAGCTACTTCTTTCTTTTGATTAATATTGTCATGTAATAAAACATTAACATTCACACTTTTCGGTCTTTAAACTTTCAGCCTAATCTTTATTATCATCATCAGTATATTTGAAGAAAGTTTCTTATAGTTCATATTTTTTATCTGTTCTGACAATTTCTTAATGATATATTTAGTCCATTTACATTTAGTGTAATTGTTGATATGAGAGCTTAAGTTGCTGTTTTATTGTTTTTTTGTTGTTTTGTTTTTCATTCCTTTATTTCTTTTTTCCTGCCTTCCCATGGATTACTTGAATATTATTTAGAATTCCTTTTTGATTTATCTATAGTGTTTTTGAGTGTATCTCTTCGTATAGATTTTCTAATGATTGCTGTAGATACTGTCTTATATATTTGCAACTTTTCAGTTTATTGGTGCCAACATTTTACTACTTTGAATGAAGTGTGGAAGCCTTACTTCCACTTAGATCTTTTTACTCTCTCCCTTTTATAACATAATTGACTTAAATATTTTCTCTGCGCAAACCATATCAGACAATATTAGAAAGTTTTTTTTTTAATATAAACTAAGTCCATTGTTGAGTTTGAACTCATGACTCTGAGATCAAGAGTTGCATGCTTTATGGCTGAGCCAGCCATGTGCCCCCACATCAGACAGTATTATAGTTTGTCCTTCAAACATTAAACATAATTTAGAAAACTTTATTGTTCTTTCATCATTCCTGAAATTCCAAGTTTTCTTCTGTATCTGAAGAACTTTTTTTGTGTTTCTTTTAGGGTAGGTCTGTTGGCAACAAATTCTCTTATTTATTTTTTTTCATCTGAGGTCTTGATTTCACCTTCATTTCTGAAAGATATTTTCAGAATATCCTTAGAATTCTGAGTTGACAGTTCTTTTCTTTCAGCACTTGAAAAGTGTTGTACCACTTTCTTTTGGTTTTCATAGTTTCTGATGAAAAATACTGTCATTTGAATTCTGTTCCTCTACCCAAGATTATTTCTTTGGATTTCTCCTCTTTAGGCTTTGGTCAGCTTCTTGAATCTTTATCTTTACCAAATTTGGAAAATTTTCAGCTTTTTCTCTAGATATTTTTTCCAGCTCCAACTGCTTTCTCTCTTCTGGAATTCTTTTTTTTTTTTTTAAGATTTATTCACTTTAGGAACACCTGGGTGGCTCAGTCAGTTAAGCATTTGCCTTCGGCTTGGGTCATGATCCCAGGGTTCTGGGATTGAGCCCCGCATTGGGCTCCCTGCTCAGCAGGAAGCCTGCTTCTCCCTCTCCCTCTGCCCCTCCTTCCCACTCATTCTCTCTCTCTCTCTCTCAAATAAATAAAATCTTATTTAAAAAAAAAAGACTTACTCACTTTAGAGAAAGAAAGGGAGTGGGGACAGAAGGAAGTAGGAGAAGGGAGAATCCTAAGTAGACTCCTTGCTGTGAGCATGGAGCCTGACACGGTGCTTGATCTCACAACCCTGAAATCATGACCGGAGCCGAAATCAAGAGTCGGATGCTTAACTGACTGAGCTTCCCAGGCTCCCAAGCTCCCCTCTCTTCTCTGGAATTCTGATAACCTTGAATATTAGATTTTTAAAAAAATAGTCCTAAAGGTCTCTGACACTTTTTTTTCCCCCAGTCTTTTTTGTCTCTTGTTCAGATTGGGTGATTTCTATTGTAGTGTTGTTTTTTTTGTTGTTTTTTTTTTTAAGTAGGCTCTGTGCCTAATGTGGGGCTTGAACTCACAACCCTGAGATCAAGAGTCACATGGTCTACTAACTGACCCAGCCAGGTGCCCCTCTGTTGTAGTGTTTTGAAATTCATTCTTTTCATCATCTTCATTCTCCTACTGAGCCCATTTAGTGAGGTTATTGTATATTTCCTTTTGACTATATTTCCTTCCTCTCTCTCTCTTTTTTACTTGTCTATGGCCGTACCACCCTGAATGTGCCCAATCTCGTCTGATCTTTTTTGCTAAAACTTACTATTTTGTTTCAAGTGTGTTCTTAATCGGTCATAGCATTTTTATGATGACTGCTTTAAAATTCTTGTCTAGTCAGAATTACCTGACATGTTGGCATCTGTTTTTTCTCATCCAAGTTAAGATTTTTCTTGGGTCTTGGTATGACAAGTGTTTTTCAGTTGCATTCTGGACATATTGAGAATTATGTTATGAGACTACATCTTATTTAAGTTTTAGCAGCTCTCCACTGAAACCACACCAGCAGGGGAATATAGATGCTGACTCCTCTCTCTCTCTTTTTTTAAGATTTCTTTATTTATTTTAGAGTGCAAGCAGGAGGCGCAAGGGCAGAGGGACGGGGAGAGAGAATCCCAAGCAGACACCACACTGAGCATGGAGCCAGATGCAGGGCTCAATTCCATGACCCCAAGATCATGACCTGAGCCAAACCAAGAGTCAGACACTTAACAGACTGAGCCACCAAGGTGCCCCAACACTGACTCTTTATACCAAGTGGGGATAGTAGAATCCTAGAACCATTCTGGATGGGATGGAGAAGGGTGCCTAACTACTGGGCAGGGATTGAAATCTGTGCTTTCCACTCAGTCTCTACTGACACTGTGGAAAAGAGGAGTGGTGCCTTGTTACTCTCAAGTAGGAGCGGAAGTCCAGGGTTCTGCCTTGGTCTCTGCTGACACCATTCTGGAAGAGAGGTAGAGGTACCTCATTTCAGTGGGCAGGGGTAGAAATTTGGCTTCTCATGTGGCTTTCACTGACCTGGGGAGGGTGAGAAATACCTTATTGATGTGGGGTTAAAAGTCCAGGTTCCCAATGTGGTCTCCATAAGAGGGTGTTGGGCAGTAGTGAAAGTCCAGGCTTGCCACTTGGACTTCTCTGATATTACCACTTTGGGGATTGGGAGAGACACTTTATTATTGTCAGTGTCGGATGGCAATCTAAGCTCCCCGTTTGGCCTTTGCTAACAGTGGTTGAGGGCCTATGGCTTTTTCCTCTGAGTTTTTTTGTTTTTTGTTTTGCTGCAGTAGGGCATTTATTGTCAAAAAGGTTTCTATCAATTTTAGGCTACCTTTTCCCAGTTCTTTAGCAAGAGAGAGCAGGCTTTTCTTTGGACTTTTTTTTTTTTTTTTTCTGTATCCATTACAGATACTGGGCTTCTTCAACACCCACTCTGAGCTATATAGGAGGCAAAAAGAGGCCTCAGGGAACTCCTCACCATGTTATTCTTTGTCTTCTGGGGTTCCTATTGCTATGGGGCTAACCTAGTTAATAAGTCTTGGATACAACTCTAGAGAGAAGATGTTTGTTTCTGCTAAAACCATGAAAATAATTTTGTCTCTCAGTTGGTGCCATTTTGGTAGAGCATGAACATGTGAACAATTTGGAGATCAGGGAATCCCTGATGGCTCAGAAAAATTGTAACGGTTTCTGTAGAAAGGGGCAGCTGGGACTCTGTTCAAGAAAAACAATTTCCATTTTTTTCTCCTAAAATGGAAATAACTTTATTGATTTCTGACTTTGAAAGTATTACATGCTGTTGGAAAATGTAGGAAAATGTGAAGAAAATAAAAATTAGAGATAGTTGTTTTTTTTTTTTTACATTTTGATGAATATCCCTTTTTTTGGTATACATAGATTTTTTTATGTATTTTAGAAAGAGGATATACTACATGCTTTTTAGTATCTTGTTTGTTGCATGTGCTATGTCATGGGCAATGTATCATATCAATTAATACACCATCGTATCAGTTAATCTAAAGGAATCCTTTAGCCTGAAAAATTGTGCTTTATCGTTTGAGTT